GTTGAGCGTATGTCCTTGTTCTCTCTCTCTCTCTCTCTCTCTCTCTCTCTCTCTCTCTCTCTTGCCTCTCTTTTGGTGAGGTTGGCCGCGGGTTCCTTAGCAGTGCTCAGGAGGCCCCAGATCCGTTCCTGGTAGTGTTTGGGCAACCGTCCCGAATGGTTCCATGTGTGGGCCTGGCAGGAGACTACCCGTGCCACCACGCATGACCATGCTTATGGGAGCACATGGTGTTGGGGATTGGCCTTTTGGGGCCTTGTGTGCACAGCACATGTGCTTCCACTCTCTGAGCTAACTCCTAGGCCTTCCTACTTTTTTTTTTTTTAATGAAATTGCTTTCTGGCGTGGAGTTCCACACACAGCTGGCATTTTCTTTCTTTCTTTTTTTTTTAGGAGTAAAAGTAAAATACAGGTGGTTGTAGACATACTGGGTCTGAGAGCTTTGCTCTGCAGGATTTCTCCACTCATCCAGATACAGCCTGCCTCTGTTAGTAAGCTGTGGTTCGAAAGAGGCAAGGGAGTCTTGTGCCCCGCCCAGGCAGGGGCGGCTCAGAGGGCGCCAGGCAGGGAGAGAACCTGATGCGAGGGAACTTACTAGAAACAGGAGATCTGGGCCAGTGGCACTGAATCTGGCGCTGAGTATTGGTGAATTCACAGAAAATTATGCAAACAGAAAGGGAATTATTAATTCCGGGGAGCAGAAAGTGGTTCAGGAAATGAAAAGTAATCCTGGTTTACTTGACTCACCGTCATAACAGCGTAAACTCAGAAAATTACTCGCGTCAACGCTACTTTAGCTGTAATTAAGAGTGAAGATATAGGAAGAGTGGGAGGGGTGGTTTGTCCCAGGGCTGAGAGTTACACGCAGGGTAGGAAGTGGAGTGGTAGGGAATACTTAGAGCTGGAAAACAAAGGAATGGTACTCGCTGCGTGTTCAATAGAGGAAATTTCTAAGAAATTCTTGGGGTAAACACAGGTCAGGGAGAAGTTGAAAATGTTTCCTGAAAAGGGGAAGGTCTGTGTCCTCACAACAGCTTTATTTTTTTATTTTTTATTTTTTAAGAGCTGATCTTTTTCGATGAGGTGCAGGGGTAATTTTTGGGGGAAAAAAAAAAAAGAAAAACCAAACAAACCAATTTAGAATGCCTGGCATATAATTGCGAGACTCGCTCTGGGAAGCCAGTCTGCTGCTGAGAATGCGCCCGCACTGCTGATGCTGACTGTGTTTCTTGCCGTGGGAGGCGGTGGGACAGGGCAGAGCTGACCCGAGTGGTTTCTCGGTGCCAGTCAGCGGGGGCCTCTCTTTCTCTCCGCAGGGGCTGGGGAGGGAAAAAGGCTCCCCCAGGTTGAGGGAATCCCAGGCTCGGGTTCCCTGTGTAGGATGAGCCAGAGGCCATCCCGTCTGCACTGTCACACCGGCAGCCTGGGCGTGGGCTTCAGGGGCCCTTGGCCCCGTGGGTACCTTCGTACAACAGAGGTGGTAACGGGAAGTGGGGCAGTGGAAACTTTGGTTAAAAAACACTCAGAAACCCACCACTTGGGCTGCTCACCACACGCTTACGGGTATTTTCATGATTGAAACCATGTTTGGGTTATATCCTTTATTTCATTTTGCTTGGGAGAGGGAGGGAGGGAGGGAGAGGCATGAGCTTGACTTTTGACCATTCCCTGTGGTGCTCAGGGGTCTTTCTTGGTACTGTGCTTAGGAGTGACCCCTGGTGGTGCTCAGGGCACTGTGTGGTGCTGGGAATTGAACTGGGGTTGGCAGCATGCCTTATCCACTCTACTGCCTCTGTGGCTGTAGTATGTATTTTCTTTCTTTCTTTCTTTCTTTCTTTCTTTCTTTCTTTCTTTCTTTCTTTCTTTCTTTCTTTCTTTTCTCTCCTTCCTTCCTTCCTTCCTTCCTTCCTTCCTTCCTTCCTTCCTTTCTTTCTTTCCTCTCCTTCCTTTCTTTGTTTCTTTGTTTCTTTCTTTCACTGAATCACGTGAGATACAGTTACAAGCTTTCATGTTTGAGTTACAATCATACAAAGATCGAATACCCATCCCTCCACCAGTGCACATTCCCCACCACCAATGTCCCCGGTATACCCCCCCTTCCCACCCTCCCCCTGCCTCCATGGCAGACAGTTTCCCCATACTCTGTCTCTCTACTTTTGGGCATTATGGTTTTAGTGCATATTTTCTTTGTCTGTGTGTGTGTGTTTGGGGGGGAGCGTGACGGGGTGGGTTGCTCCCAAGCTGTGCTCAGGGAGCCTGAGGGCCACTCTAAGAGATGTGCAGGTGGGTGGTGGTGGGGGCCACTGGGGCTGCACCAGGCAACGTTGAGGGGACTGTGGGGAACAGGTGGTGCCAGCTTTGCGCCTGCGGCTTCATCTCAGGCCTGTGCTGTAGCCCTTGGAGCCCTGTCTCCCAGCCCCAGACCCCTCATCTAAAAAAAAAAAGTTCTGTTGGTTTTCTGCAGGCAGATCCTTATTTATAAGTTTATTGGATTCAGGGTATGGTGTGTGTGTGTGTGTGTGTGTGTGTGTGTGTGTGTGTGTGTGTGTGTGTGTGTGTGTGTTGCTGTCTCTGCAGCTATATTGCTTACCAAAAGACACGAAGAACTCACTCTGTGAAAAGCAGAGTATGAACCAGCCAGCCTCACACAGGATCGCCGGCATTGGTGGTGGCCGCTGTGTTAAACTGTGAATAGGATCCCTGGGTCGTCGTCCAGTTTTATTTCTAGTACAGGTTGGCTGTTTGTCCATCTGCCAGTTGCACTGTCCTTGCACGTCAGTTGGTGTGGTTGTGATGTGCAAGACGGGGGTGGGGGCATCTGCTGATTTGTAAGTGTGGATCTTTATGTGTCGGAGTCTCCGTTGCAGTTTCTGCAGCTGCAGAAGACTTATTTGCATTTTCTTGATTTTTTTTTTAACTGTTTGGGGATTCAAAACTTTTTTCTGTTTTATTTTCAGGGGTTCTTTTTTCTTGTTGTACTCAGGATTGTCTTTTCCTGTTGGTTCCAAAGTTAAGTTTAATAGAGTCTCCAGGTCTGGCGGCGCATGTGCGCCTGCCTGCGTGTGGTCTTTGGCATCGGAGCGTCTCCACTGGTTCTGGTTTATGTAGTCCCTGTTCAGTTGCCGACCCGCTGGGTCACAGTGGTCAGCGACTCTGACTGCCCTCTTGTTCTGAGGATTCTCTGCAGCAGCACATGTCTGGCTGTCACCTGAATGCTTCCTTTGATTTAAGTGTTTGCCATGCGACTAGCACGTGGCCCTTCTTTCCTGTCCTAGTGGTCATGTGAATCTGAAAAATGTCTCGTCGTCTTAGCGGGGAGAGCTAAGATGTGGGGGGGTGGGGGGGGTGGGTAGTGCTGCTTTGTGTGTTTTAAAGTAAATGTTAAATGCGTCCCTGGGTCAGAGTTAGTTCTGCCTTCCTACCAGACTCATTTTAACCAGTGAGGGAAGAGGCTGGGACCCCCGTTTACTTGGAGTGATGGCTGAAGTTGGGGTGAGAGCTGGGCACCAGTTTCAGCACCCTGACCATTGTGCTTTCCTAGGCTTCTTTGCAAGTGTGCTAACCCCTCCGAGTAGCGGCTGGGGAATTCCTTGAGCTTCTGCCCTTCCCTTGGCGCTTTAAAGCTGCTGAATCAGGTCGCAGGAGCTGCACACTGAAGGCCTACCAAGGCCTGTGCTGGAGCATGTGTCTCAGGTGCGGAATGGGGCGCGGGTGGGGGTGGGGAGGGTTCAGAACGAATTTTCCTATTGCCCCTTCTACTTAAACGCCGGCATCTGCCCACGTGGAGACCAGGATCTGTTGGTGACACTGAAGTTCTTTCTGCCTCTGATCTCCGCACTCTGGCCAGAGTGCAAGGGTGCAACCTTCCTCCTGTTCCAGGGATGTGTGTGTGTGTGTGTGTGTGTGTGTGTATGTGTGTGTGTGTATGTGTATGTGTGTGTGTGAGAGAGAGAGAAGTGTGTGTGTGTGTGTGTGTGAGTGAGAGGTGTGTGAGTGTATGTGTGTGTGTGTGAGGAGTGTGTGTGAGTGTGTGTGAGAGAGGAGTGTGTGTGAGAGGAGTGTGTGTGTGTGTGAGAGAGTGGATGTGTGTGTGTGTGTGTGTGTTTGTGAGATCCACACCTTCCATGGTCTCTCTCCACCAGAGTGGGCTTGTGAGGAGAGCCTGATTTTTCGGGCAGCAGTGTCTTCTGTGAATGGGGAAATGAGCGCCTGGGAGCACCCTGCTCCTCCCCCTGAGCGCGTGCTGGGGCTGTGCCTGCTGAGTGATCTGTGTTCCTCCTCCACCGCTCGCTCTCCTGGTGGGCCTGACTCATACAGCCCTGTGTGAGCTCAGTTACCCGCGGGGCAGGATGCTGGCCTGGGCTTAGATGTGGGCTTGACCTCTGGGACTGGAGACTTATTTCCAGTGGGGATTGTGTTGGTGGCCCCAGAGCGAGCAGCTCGTGAGGCGGCGGGCGCTGTCCAGCCCCGTCTCTCTGCTCCCCATGCGCCCGGAGTTCCTTGTGGCTTTCTGGGTTGGGGGGTGTTGTTGAACCTAGGTTGGCTGCAGGATCTCAGAGGTACCTGGTGCCTGGGTACGCTTGCCTGGACGGGGGGATCTCTAGGCCCAAGACCTTTGTATGACTGCGGGGTGGTCACTTTCCAAAGACCCGCGGCCACTCGTCCAGGTGCTGGCAGGGGCGAGGGCCAGCTCTGTGGGCACCATCCAGGCGTGTTCTAGGAAGCTGGTTTTTGTGTGTGGACAAGAGGGAACCTGGCTTCGTTCGCCGCCTTGCCCCTGTGGGGAGTGTTGTTTCCCACGGTTCGGTCCGGCGGTGTGTGTCCAAGGGGGGTTTCAGGGTAGGAAACCCAGGCCTGGACGCGTCAGAGAACACAGGGAAACCACTGGGAGATTTCCGGAGTCAGTGTATGCGTCTCATGTTTGCTGTCTCCTGGGGGAGCAGGCTTGGGGGTGATGCATCACCTGGGATGTTCCGTCTCTTCACAGCTGTCTCTCTCCGCAGACCCTGCTCCTCGGAAGATGCACTATTATAGATACTCGAATGCCGAGGTCAGCTGCTGGTACAAATACCTCCTTTTCAGCTACAACATCATCTTCTGGGTGAGTGGACAGCCGCCGCCGCCGCCGCCGCGTTTCCTTCCTCCTTTGGCTGGTTTTGGCAGTGCTGGGGTGGAGGAGGGAGGGTCTGTTTCCGGGTAGGTGCTCAGGGGTCACTCTTGTTGGCGGTGGGGGTGGGGGGCAAACCTAGGGCCTCTCAAGCAGGGCAAGGGCCCGCCCACGGAGCCACACTCCTAGGCCCGCAGGCATCCTCTTTTCCAGTCCTTTATTTGTAAATCTGGGTTCGCCAGTGCTTTTGATCTTCCAGCTCTCCTTTGAGGTCCTGTGTGGAGTGCTGGGCAGCGATGAGTCCTGCCTGCAGGGAACCAGCCCCTTCTAAATGATAAAGTAGAGAGGACCAAGGTGTCACTGGCACTGTCACTCCTGTTGTTCATTGATTTGCTCAAGTGGGCCCAGTAACATCTCCATTGTGACACTTGTTACTGTGTTTTGGCATATCGAATATATGTTTGGCGTATCGAATATCACGGGTAGCTTGCCAGGCTTTGCCGTGCGGGCGAGATTCATCGAGGGGATGAAAGCCCGGGGCCACTGTGGGAGGTAGAGGGGACTGAGTAGTGAGAGCACATTTGTTGACAAGAGAGATCTGAATGTCGAACCCTGGGATGCTTGCCCAGTCCAGCACTGCCTCTGGTGATTGACTTTAGGAGTGAACAAGAGAGTCTGTTCTTTTTTTCTTGGAGGTGGGGGGAGAGAGAGGGTGTTTGGGCCATACCTAGTGGTGCTTAGGGTTTACTCCTGGTTCTGCCCTCAGGGGTCACTCCTGGTGGGCTAGGGGGACAAGGTGGGGGTGCCGGGAATTGAACTCAGGCACGCCATGTGCAAGATAAGTGCCCTACCTGCTGCCCTCTCTTGGACTCCAAGAGATTTCGTCTTGGAGGAGCCTGGCGAAGGAAGCCTTCAGGCAGAAGGGGCAGCCTGCTGTGCCCTCCAGGCAGGTACACGAGAACCAGGACCGGAAATTGGCATTTGCTTTGGTCGAGGTCGAGAGGTAGTTGGGAACTTCAGCCGGAAGCCCGAGGAGTGTGAGAAAGTAGAGAGGATGGCTCAGGACACCTCTTTCCAGAACTCTGGCCTTAAAAGACAAGAAAAATTGATCCCTGCCTGGAGGTGGCCAGGGGGTTACGGGAGGTGTCATAATGGAGCGTCGCTCCTGGGATTGGCCCCAGGAGAGGCTGACATTGATTCTCTGCAGGGGCCAGATATGATCACACACAGAGGCTTTGAGCCCATGAAACATGGATGATGAGTGTCTGTGTGGGAAAGCTGGAGAACGAGGGTCCGAGTGCGTGGCCACGGATGGGACTCATTGGCCCGGCCCTTTCCCACGGGTCTTCCCTGTGCTCAGACTCGCGGCTCCCGGCCTCCTTTCCCCTGCCCGGTGCTGCCCAGTTGCTGTGGCTCCCCCTAGCCGAGAGCTGTCGGCCTCCAGACCTGCTCTGCTCCCGCCAGGAGACCCTTTGGCCCCACCTGTTGTCCCAGCAGGTGTTTTGTGTGGGCGGCCATCTGGCCTCACGGCGACCCTGACCCTGAGAAGCGCGTGTCTGTCCAACTGTCCTTCCCGCCCTGCCCGCCCTGCTGGCCCTGCCGGGCGCATCTGGCCTCCTGCCGTGACCTCTGACTCCCGCCCGGCTCTTCTGCAGCCAGCGCTCAGCTCTCCCGCCGATGCTGCGGCCGACGGCCCTGGCTGTCACTAGATCCCAGAGGCTCAGAGGCTTTTCTGATCTGAACCAACGCTTTTCCTCTGGGGAAGCCGGACAGCTCTGGCCACTGGCAGCACTGCGCTCGAGGAGGGGCAGAGTTGGATGGATCCGTGATGGGAGCGTGTTGGCGCGGCGGTGGGGAGCCTGGGCAGAGTGGTGCCGCGTCGGCACCGTGTGTGGCTGAGACGTAATTACCTTTCGCTGTGGAGGGGCAGAACAGGAAGGGACAGGAAAGCGAGGCAAGACGGAGCTTGGCTGGGAAAATGAGACGGGGCGGCCGCCTGGCCCTGCGGCTTGAGTTCTGGGTGATTTTCGGCCTCTGTCTGCATCTGAGCCACGAGTGTGGCGTGAGGCCTGGGAATGGGGTGCGGAGGCCTTCAGGAGAGGCGCCTGTTTGCCAGACAGGCCTCTCACCTGGACCGGGGACGGCGGTGACCTCGGTGTCTGCTGTGTGAAGTGACTGATCTCACCTGCCAGCTGCCCAGGCTCCAGCGTTGCCGCAAGGGTGAGGAAAGGACCCGCCAGGCCCTTGCCAAGAGAGTTTCTTTTTTCCAAATGGAGAATGTCCAGAAATCCTTGTATTCTCATCACCTCGCTTCCAGAATCATCCACTCGTAGCTGATCTTGCTCAATTCATATCCCCTCCCGCTGCCCCAAGGCCCCCCTCAGATTATTTTGTAGCAACCCTGAGAGAGGTTTCCTATGTCCTCCCCACCCCCGGAGAGCTTTGGGATTTGTTTTGTTTGGATGGATTAATGCAGAGAGCTGAAGGGATCCGGGGCTTGTGGTGGCGGAGCTGAGTGACGCGGGCTCAGCCTGAGCTGAGTGCACGGAGAGAAACCTGTTGCTTCTCTGCCCTATTCTGGGTGCCAGGGCTCACACAAGTTATATTTAGTGGTTTTGCCTGACTCAAGACTTGTCTTCACAGCATCAGTCTTTATAGCAAACACCTGTGGCACCTTGACAGCTTTTTAAATGTCTCTTCCACTTTTTCTTCATCTCCAGGGCTGAGATTTTCCCCAGCTTTTCTGTTAATGGTCCGGGTGAGACCAGCATCACAGATGCCAGCCCTGTCTGTCTGACCCTCTGGGATGCTTGCCACAGGATGTGTGTGTGTGGGGGGAACAGTGCTCCCAGACAGCCCAGGATTGTGAGGTTATTCATATATGTTTTCTATTGTATTTATTTTTTTAGATCACTCTTTGGCCACCACGTCAGACCCGTTTCTGGGGCACTATCTTACTTAGACTCAGGAAATGTAAATCGGGATCACAGTGAGATGCCACATTCTACTTATTAGAATAGTTATTATTTTTAAAAAAGCAACTAGAGGGGCTGGAGCGATAGCACAGCGGGGAGGGTGTTTGCCTTGCATGTGGCTGACCCAGGTTCAATCCCTGGCATCCCGTATGGTCCCCCAAGCACTGCCAGGAGTAACTCCAGAGCATCACTGGGTCTGACCCAAAAGAGAAAAAAAAAAAAACCTAACCACAACCAACAAAGAAACAAAACTCAAAAAAGAGAAAATATTAGGGCTGTGTAGGTAAAAAGCATCCAGGGTGTTTGCCTTGCTTGCAGTCTACCCTGGTTCTATCCCTGGCCTCACCTGTGGTTCTCCAGGTACCACCAGAGTGATCTCTGAGCACCGAGCCAGGAGTAAGCCCGGAGCACCAGAGTGTGGCACCCCTCCCCCCATCGCCCACCAAAACAAGAAAAAGGCCCAGAAAATGTTGGCTAGGATAAGGGGCTGTTAGGCTTTGCTGTTGGTGAGCACCTAAAACATCGTAGCCACTCACATAGTGTTAGGGCTTCTCAGGAAGGGTGAACTCAATGGTGCGAGCACTGTGGCCAAGAGCAGGACCTCTGGCGAGCGCCACGGCCAGTAGGCACATGAACACCACTGCCAAGGAGTGCGAGCCCCGGTGTGAGCTTGTGAGCGACAACCTGCCGTCCTCTTCTCCTCCCCCCCCCCCCCCCCCCTACAGCGGGATCAGCCACCACTGTGCCTGGTCAGCACAGTGAGGGCAGCCGAGGGATGCAGGTGGGAAGGGGCTTCAGGGAGTCCACATGCTCCATCTAGCAGCATGTCTGCCCCTGTACCCCGGGGGGTTTGGCGCCTCCTCTCACAGAGGCCTTGGCCCTGCCCTGTCCATAGCAGTACCCCCCACCGCCCCCGGGCATAGGAATGCAAAGGTAGACTCTGCTGAGTGTCCTGCGACAGGAGCCAACCAGCGAAGGGGGGCGGTTGGGGGGGGGGCGCGGTGTCCACACTGGTCCATTGTGTGCCACAACACAGATGAGCCTCAAAGACATCACGGTGCCTGGGGGAACAAGGCCGTCCCACTAGGTCCCCGCTATCACGTGACCCCCGGGTACTCATCGTCAGAGGGGTTGAGGTGGGAAGTAGAACTGGGGTTGCCAGCCCCTGGTGGGGGCAGTGGACAGTTGCTGGTCCCTGTGTTTTAGGTTTGCCCGAGGGAGGTCTGTGGCAGTGACCCCGTGCATGCCGCCTGCACCCCTGGGCGGTGAGGTCAGAGAGTTGATTTCTGCGGGTCCGACCCGGTCAGCAGCAGTGAGATCTTGCCCCAACTCGCCAGGGAGGAAGGTTGCCGAGCGGGTGGGGAGGGCGGGCCTTAGTTGGCACTTGCCCCGGCTCTGCGAAGAGTCTGAGCATCCCTGCCTGCATCCTGCATGTGGGCTGCTGAGCCTGGATGTGGCCTGCATCTGCCTCAGAGGAGTCCCCTGGGCGTCTATGCTCCATGTTGGCCAGCCTGGGACTGCAGGAACCATCTGCCTGCAGCCTCCAGGAGGGGGTGACCGTACCCTTTACGGTCCAGGTAGGGGAACTTAAGTTTTGCCTGAATGGCAGCCCAGCCCCGGGAGGCAGGACCCTCCTCCAGGAGAGACAGAGCGAGTCCGGCTCTCCTCCCTCTCGCTCTCTGGTTCCCTCACCTGCCTGGGTGGGGAGCAGCTCATCTCCCGTCGCTGTGCTCCCCCCCCCCCCCCGCCCCGCCTCCGTCCTGGGCTATGGCGGGGAGAGGGCCCCCTGTACTGGAGATGAACTCTTGCCTATGAGTCAGGGGACCGCAAGGGGGGCCGTGCACTGGTCTGCGTGAGGAGCGTGTCCCCGTATCTGCCTGGCGGGGAAGTGCCTACTTCCTGGTCACGCGTGTCCCGTGACCTGTGATCGTTTGCACAGCTGAGAAGCGGTGCCTTTCCCTCTGGTCAGATGGCCCGGAGCATCCCAGCTGCAGCCTGTCATCCGTGTTCTGTTGTCCT